ATGGGGTGAGTTTGTGCAAAGTGAGGGAGGGGGTTTTGAGGGGGATTCACGCCGTTGTGTGTCTTACCATATTTTAAAAAAACTTTAAACACATATGTTCCTTGTATCAGCCTCTGTAGGTTAAACCGCAGTCCCTTGAGCTGACTCCGCAGTGCGTAGCTCCTGATACAGGAAACGTAAGGACTGAGCCACCTGCGCTCCCCTTCCCTCCTGTCTCTTTCCTTTTCGGTGAAGTCTGAGGTGCCTCTGAGGAAGGCAGTGCCGGGGGCATGCCACACATTTTGAGCCCTTTGAGCCCTGCTGTGGTATATTGTCAGGTTTATCTTCAGAGCGTGGCCTCTGCCACACAGGAAAGGAGAAAGCATTGGGTTTTCTTTTTGGTGGAACAGCACACGGGCAGCTCGGTTTTATGGTCTGGGCTGTGCCCTCTGCTCGTCACCTCGGCCTCCCTTCAGGCCAGGTGAATCTGAAGAGTCCTCAGGGTGCTGATGGTATCCTCGCCTGCTAGGAAAAGAAGAGCCACCTCCTGCGGCTCCTTTCCAGGGACTGCCAGTCTCTAGAGTCAACAGGAGCCTTCAGAACCCATGTGTTTCTAATTTCCCAGAGTCACCACATTTCTCTTGGGATGAGACAAAACTTCAGGCGATCCCCAGCCAAGGACTCCATAGACTGACTTATTAGTTACTGTGCTGCCCTGTTGCCCTTACTGCTCACTGGGAACTTGCAGAAGAGTAGCAGAGCCACCTGACTTCCCTTCTAGAAATGACCAGTAACTGGAGGATTGCTATCATAGTTAATGGGCCCAAGCAAAATACTGAGCAGCAGACCAGAACTTACTTAGTGCTAAGACACCACTGTCTTCTCCTAGGTAGACAAGGTTCTTCAGCAAGCTAGAAAGATATGGCTACGCAGACACATGCATAAGAACAGAGAGATACGTGTGAGGGATACACAGACGGGGATGTTTATAGGTAAAAGGAGAGAGAGGTGAGAGAAGTGAAGGAACTGGCGATGCTGGTCCAAAACCTTCCAGGTGGACCCACAGGCTGGAGTCCCACGGAGGACCATGGGCCAATGGCAGAATTTGTGATCCTCTGTTACACTTTTATCCTAAACCCTTCAGCTGACAGGATGGGGCCCACTCACATTATAGAGAGAAACCCACTTTGCCTAGCATTCACCAGTGTGGTGTTCCGAATTGAGATGATCCTCCCAAGTCTTGTTCTGCATTCGGAGGTGGGGTTTTCAGAGGATTGGAACACGGGGGCTCTGAATTCATGGTGGGTTAATCCCTGGAGAGCTCCCAGTGGAACAGCGCTCCAAGGAGGAGGTGGAATTTGTAGGGCTGAAGTGCTACCGAGGGAGGCTGCCCTTGGGGATTACATCTGGACTGATTAGCAACCAGTTCAAATGTAAGTCCTATCCGGAACACACCTTCAAAAAAACAATGAGAACCATGTTTGACAAATATTAAGGTACCACAGCCACATGGAATTAAACATCACACTTGTCATTGGTCTTTCCCTGCTGTGGTATTTTTCAGGTGCAGTACAGTTAGACACCATGTTTGTGCTTTAAAGTTGTAAGTGTGTGTGCTTAGGTAAAGGAGTTGGGTCCCTCAAATACTGCATAAAGCTTTCTTGTAAATTTTGTGTCCTGCTTTCCTGAAAGAGAAATAAATGGCATTTGGAAGAAAAAGAATTTTTTTAGAGAAACCTGTGGTAGGGCTTGGGGGGAGGAATAGCGAGCTACATTCCAGAAAAGGAATTGAGGACACGAGAAACGCATGGGCTACTAACTGGGAACTCAAACGCTATTAACTAGCGGGGCACAGTGGAGCACACCTGTAGTCCCAGAACTCTGGGAGGCTGAGGTGGGAGGATGGCAAGTGTGGGCAACCAGGGCTCACAGCCGTGGTTGAGGTCCAGGTGCATGGATGGGGTTCCTGGCCCTATTTTATTTAGTGTGTGTGTGTGTGTGTGTGTGTGTGCATGTGGGTGTGCAGGGCAATGCTTCAAAGTGTCCAGGGACTTAGGAAGCCCTCTGTGACTCCCACACAGGCAGGAACCTTTGTTTGGGAGTTTCTCTTCCCATCCTGGAGTAGAAATTAATACTGTCCAAGGCAGGCAGAAGTGACGGGCACTTTCAGGTCACAAGGAGAGTGTCAAAGGATCTTGGAAGGTGTCAGGAGGGGCCATATGTTCCTTCCTGAGAGATCAGGCAGGCTTTCTGAAGGAGGTGGCCGCTGCGTGCTGGTCTTGGTCTCCCTGGATGTCCTTATTTGTGACCGTTATAGAAATTTAAGTCATTTGTGAGACTCAGGCCTGGCAGAGCCTCAGTGCCTGGCTGTGGTTTTAAGTTCAGTAGCCCTTAAAGCACTGTAGGTATCTTGGCACTAAGTGCAAGAATTCCCCACTCTCCTGACTGCCCCAGGTTTGCTGTAGCCTCCAGTCTGAGGAGTTTCTTATTTTCCCCGCAGCAGGCTCGGGTGTGGGTGAGGAGAGTGCGCACAGTTTGGGGTGGCCCAGACTGCCTGCCATGGCTCCCTCCAAGGTTAACAATTATCTTAAAGTGTGTTTACCCGATGGGGAGTGCGCGCTTCCTGTCTTTCTTCTTGCACTTGCTGGGTTGCTTTCAAAACAGGGAGACAAACAGCTCTGGAGAATGCATGCTCCGCCAGAGCTGGAACCGGTGTCCCTGGGACATCTTCTCAGAGACTCTGTCTAGCCCCTGGTCCTGGAGACAGGGCTCACGGACGCGCTGCGGGTGTTGCTGGCCACACCTGAAAATGTCTCTTCCAAATGACGCCAGGCAGCGAGACAGACATTGTCCTTGTCATTTACTTCTGCTGGAAGGGAGTGAAGTTGTTCTAAAGGTTACCCAGAGGTGACCAAATTGATTGTATTGATTACCTGCATTGATCAGATTATCCAAGTATTTGCCCAACCTCCACTTAGCCTAGTGCCACGGAAACACTGGCCTGTGACAAAGGGCACAGAGCAGATTACAGCAGATGGCCAAGACTAGCAGAGCACGCCCAAAAGAAATGCAGCCAAGGCTTTGGTGCTGACCCATGGGACTTCTGGCCTGACTTCCTGCCCCGAGGGAGACCTCTCCTTCTCCTGGCTCCTCGATGGCCCGGAGGGGACAGGCCAGTCGCCACCGTGTCTCCTTTTGCCACACCTGCCTCACTGGAACACACTTTGCAGGATTGTGCGACCTTAGGTCTCCACACTTCTGGCCACTTTGATGTCTCCAGAGTGAAGCCCAGCCATGGCGACACAAGAAAAACAGACCCTGGACTTTTCCAGAGCAACTGAGAGGATAATCCAGGTTACTAGGGTCTGAACTCTGAAGTGACAGAGTGTGACAGAATGGTGAGAAGGGGGCCTTGAAGGGTGTGGAATAAGAGAACAGCCCTGTTGAAGAAGGGAGAAATTGGAGTTGGAAAACCTGTCACGTGGGGAGTTCACACCACACTCCAAGGGCCCCTGGTCTCCATGGAGACCTCGGCACAAGCCCTGCAGAGCCAGAGCCCCGAAGTCCACAGGAGCGGCTCAGAGCCACTGGCTTCTTGCACAAGTGTGTGCACACTCCCGCACATGCATGCACATGCACATCCTTCCCTGCATCCCTGGAGACAGTGAAGGGTTAGCCTGAGAGTCTCTGTCCTCTAACCTTGCACACACCATGCCCAGTCGGGAAACCAGTTTGGCCAACCTTCAGGGTGCGCCCTGCCTGCAGTTAATTTCACGCCTTGGGGGAGAAGAATTTGCTTCCAAGATGCTTCCTCTTTGCCCTGGTGGAAAGGAGGAAAAGTGAAGCTCCTCTGGTCAGGTCTTTTCACTCTGCCTGGGATCTTCCCACAGCAACGCTCTCCCACCTCAGTGAATTACTGAACTGCACAACTGGTCCCAAGGTCTGGGTTTCTCCTCTTCCTCACTGCTGCTGCCATCAAGGCCAGATAACTCTTTGGGGAGGGTCCTGTGTGTTGCAGGGTGTGGTGCATCATCTCTGGGCTCCCCAGGGATGTTGCCAAGCGCACCGCACCTTCATGGTGACATCCAAACTTCAGACTTTTCCAAATCCCCCCAGGGAGTAAAACTGCCTCTGGTTGAGAAAGACTCACCTAGGGGTGGCTGGGTCCATTCTGAGATAATGGGCTTGTCACGATGGGAGCACTGCTCTGGTTTCTGTCTGGATAGCCCCAAGAGACTCATGCACTCATAGGTAGGGCTTTGACAAGGTGATTGGCTTATGGGGCTCATAGTTGACTAGTGGTGAAATGGTGGGGCCTGATGAGAGTGGGTGGGGCCTGGTGGGAGGAGGCGGGGCCTGGTGGGAGGAGGTGGTCCCTAGCACTGGCCCGAGGGCGGATCTATCTCCCTCTGACTTCCCTTTCTCCCTCTGCTTCCTGTCTGCCATGCCCTGCACAGCTGTCCTGTGCCAGGTCCCTCTGCCCCACTGTCTAGCCCTGAAGCTGGTCCACCAGGGACTGAAATCTCTACGGACTGTGAGCCAAAAAACCCCTCCTCCTATAAATTGAGGGTGTTGGATATCGTGTCTCAGCCATGAGGAAAGTAACTACAATAAACAGCGAAAAAAGAGACTAAAGTAAGAGCCTTGTTCCTTGAATGCAAATTCAGAAAGAATGGCTTTAGTCTGATGCACTGGTTTTTTGCCATATTAAAAGTCAAGCAAAATTCTTGCCATAAATTTTCTGTATTGTTTTGCTGCTTAAATATATGTTGTTAGTTGCCTCTTTATCATGAGAAACATGCTCATGCCACGCATTATTCCTTGAAATTCAGTAGTAGCTGGTCTAAAGCTAAAGTTAGCCCTGACCCTTTCGGAAAGCATGCATCTGTGATAGGCAGTACATCTCAGGATTTTGCAGCCTCTCCCCCAAATCTGACAGTGTTTGCGAATAACATACCCTTACTTGGGTTATAACATTCTGTTATTTTTGCAGTTATGTTGTATTATTGATCACTCTACAATTCACATTTTGCTAGAAGTTTTATTAAAATCATTTATTGTTAATAATAAGGTAGGTGAGATGTTTATAGCAGTCACACAAGAAGAATTCTGATTTGTGGAAAATTCATTTCTAATGCAGCAGAACTACTGATTTCCACTTCAGCTGCAGAGAGGGTCTGTGGCCACTAGCCATTTTCAAAGGTTAAAATAAAATTAAGAAAATTATTGTTAATATTGTAAGCAATTGATTATCATTTATTATGAAATAATTGCCTTTAAAGTAATTATCTCAGTGAACAAGGGATTGCTTCAGGATTATTGCTTAATTACCATTAAACAATGAAGTACATATGGCATATGATATTCATTGTTTATTATTATTTTTACAAGCACAGATGGCTTAGTACTGTCAGGAAGACTAATGGAGAGTAATCTTTTTTAAATGTAATTACCACATAAATATGTCAGATGACTTTTTGTTTGTTTTGCTACCATTATAACATTATTTTAATTAAGATGCTAAGGACAGTAATTTTCTCCACCTAACCAGACCTAACAGAAAAGATCTATTTAAGATGTTCTTAAAGCTTTGCTAGAAAATATTTATATTACACAAATATTTTTCACATTAGTACATGCAATCTTGCTTTTATGTCAGCTGAAGAACATGCATAAAAATGAAAAGAAAGACGGTCGCTGTGCTGGTGGCCAGGCTACAGGAGAGTCCACACTCCTGCAGGGCTCAGACCAGCACAGTTCCGTGGGGATTCCAGGTGGCGTCCTCACACAATCTTCCCAAATTCAACCCCTCAGAAACACGGTGTCCCTGGGGCGACCTCTGGACAGCCCATGCCTCCCTCCCTGTCCTGCAGTCAAACCCAGCTTGTACCTCCAGGGCTTACATCCAGCCTGGGTTCTGTCCAGATCCACGCTCAGCCATGAGGCAGTTCCAGCCCTGCACAATGTGGGCTTGGGCTCAGGAGAAGGGTGTGTCCGGGGTCCCCAGGTGGAGCAGATTCCTTCCAAGCCTCACCTGGGGACTCACCTCCATGCTGCAGTGGCTGTGTGAGCTCAGTGGCCTGGCTTTCCCCTGCATTGTGGGGGAGAGAGCTTGGTCAGACCTGAATGGCTAGTGGCAGCGAACCCTGAGCCTCTCAGAATTCCAGCTTCATGGCTGCAGGTGGTTGAGGACGGTGGCACCTGTGATTACTCTGAGCTCAAGCACCGTGAGTCTTAGCACCTGCTTCTGGGAGGCTCGGGCTGCAGAGAAGTCTTTCGTGACCCACCAGAGCCCAGAGGGGCAGCACCGAACCACTGCAACACATGCCAAGCTGTTGTTTGAGTCTAAGGCCTGGCTGCCCAGTCCAGCCGTGTCCACCTGCAGGTGTAGGGCTTCCTGGTCCAGCCGTGTCCACATGCAGGTGTGGGGCTTCCTGGTCCAGCCGTGTCCACCTGCAGGTGTGGGGCTTCTGGGTCTAGCCATGCCCCTTTGCATGTCTGGCATATCCGGGTCCAGCTGTGTCCATCTGTAGGTGTGAGGCTTCCGATCTTGGTACACCCGATGCCGTGTACTGTGACAGCATGTGCTCCAGGAAGAGCATACGTGGAAAGCGGGAAAACAGAGCTGGGTGGGCTCAGCGCCCCCTCATTGGGTTCACCGCTGTTGCACCCCCAGGATGGGGACACGGCAGCCTCACCCAGAATCACTGCTCTCTCAGTTGAGCAGACAGCAATGCTCAGCTTCTGACGCAAGCTGGGCTCCCCTCCTTTTCAGTTTGCAGCTCCACTTAGCCCCTGTGGTTCTAGTTAAGAGCTTTGCCAGTCACGTGGACAGGTCAAGGCACACCCTGCTCTGTACATCTCTCCACCCCATCTCCAGTGCACCTGAAAAGGTGTCCTTAGGTGTGAGGCTGCCCACGGCTCCCCCACAGGCACCCACCCTTCCCAACAGAGGTCACCACCACAGCTGGACCTACCCAGCCCTTTGGAAATGAGCTAAACCCTTGTCCTATGCACGTTCTGCACACTAAGAAGAGCCCATCACCTCAGCTGCATGGAGCCCGGGGTTCATGTAGAAAGGCTCAATAAATAGCTCTGAACCTGTCACTGTGTACCAGAGGCTTGGACCACACATGTGACCAAGTCTCTTCCTGATTCAAGATACTACTGGAGGTGAGGGTGGGACAGAGAAAGAGGAAGAGGGAGAGAGATGCAGGGGAGAGAGAGACGCACAGACAGAGAGATGGAGAGAGGGAGGGAGAGAAAGAGGCGGGGGACGGCATGCCAAAGCCAGTGCCCAGGACTTCTGAGACCTTTAGACTTCAGTCAAGAGGCCTCTATTCCAAGTGGCCAACTTGATTTCAAAGGAAAATCATGGGTTCTTAATTTCAATAATGCAAAAAGGCCTTCAAAGAGAATGGCTTTTTGGCTGTGAGACAAGGTCATTTATGTCAGACCAGCCCAGACTCTGATTATAAAATGAAAGTGTACAATTGCTTTACCTGAAAGCTTTGTGGGGTCCAACATCACCCCCTCATTTGCTGAACATCAGCTCGCCTCAGAGCATTTCTTTGTGACGTCTCCACATTCCTGTCACTCGAGTTGTTTCCTCCCGGACTGTCCTCCTGGTCACTTGTGGCTGATGACACTGGAGATTGCTGGCTGGTTGTGCACGGCTCAGGGATGGGACTGAGTTGTCTCAAAGGACTCCGATGAGTACCCTTCTCCTGGGGACAGAAGACTCCTTGCAAGAGTTCATGTCCAGCTTGGAAGCAAGTGTCCACCTGAGGCTGGGCACCGACCTGCAGCAGTGGACTCTCACTGTCCTGGAGCTCTGTCATCACAGTGTGAGGAGACATAGCACAAGGTCACAGGAGGGAAGTAGCCTTGCTGCTGTGTAGGGTGCCACTGAAACTGGAGACTGATCACATGTGTGGGCTAAAGCAGGGCAGCCCTAAAAACACAGACGGCCCAAAGCAAGCTGCATAAACCAGCTGTTCCAGCTCCAAGAAGGCAGGGGCCCAGGGCAGCCAGGCAGACACAGTACTGGGCAGCGGGGTTGAAACTGACCTCCTCCTGAATGTGTATAAGTAATGATGCCACTGTGATTGGGCAGTTCCTTCTCTCCCGGCAGTAGAGTAAGGGCTCCACCTGACCCCAGCTTTGTCTCTTCTGTATTTTCCCATCCTCTCTGCTTCCTTCACCCCAACAACCTCAAGAGCCACATGGGAGGGGCAGTCCGGGTCCAGGGTGAGAGGGCCAGCGAAGCCCCTCCTGGGTGTGGCTCAGTCTCTCCAATTTGGAGCACCAGGGTGGCACAGAAGGACGCACTCTGAGTGCCCTCCCTTCCGGGATGTGGCTGTTCTGTGACAAGTGTCCAGCCTGTATGAGGCCATGCTGTTGTCGTGGACAGACGTCGGCAGGCAGGTGGAGGAGAAATTGTTTCACTGACAGTGATTCTCTTCTGGGACAGCAGTGCTGAGAGAACAAGGAGACAGAAACAGGTACCGTCCGGGTCGGACCCTGCCTTGACACCTTGTAGGAGGGGATAGTCTGCGACTCCGAGGCAGAGGAGGAGCTTCTGACCAGCAAAAAGGGCTGGGAGGAAGCCTGACACCTTGGGGGACTAAGCTTCAGCACTCCTGTCCTCCCTCGGGATGAGCACAAGCACTTCCGCTTGCCTGTTGGCGGTGTGCAGACGGGAAGCAGGGATCTCTGGCCACTCCTCTTCCCGTCATTCTTACTTCTGTGGTTATTTTGTGATTTAATGAACCGCAGCCGGATGCATCCCTGGGAAATAAGAGTTAAACATGTGATCCTTTCTGTGAGTTAAGTCCTGGAAGGATTCGATCAAAGCAAACTGTTTTTCCAAAATGGCACAGAGCTGTAGATAAAGTGTAGTTAAGTGAATTGTAGCTGTGAAGGAGAAACCCTAAAACCAAGCTACCCCAAATAAACTGCTCCTTGGTCATGAAAATGTTCTCTGTCCACAGGGACAGTTAGAAGCCATGTTGCAGGGACATAGGTCGTGCCTGGTCAGCTGATGGTTACAGAAGTGACCACACACTTACTTCACACTATGTACCTGAGAAAGCTGCCTTTTGTGAAACCTTCGCATGTATTCACAGGGGGCCCCTAGACCCTGGGACTCCACCTCAGAAAAGAAAGCTGAGACCCTGGTTGGCCTAGTGAAACGGTTGTACTCAGGGACCAGCTGACCGCTGGAAGTATGAGGTGGGGTAGAGAAGCTCACTAGAGCTCTCCCTGCTTCACTTCCCACCTGGCAGCTTTGCCTGTGTCCGTGATATCATCCATAAACATCTACTTCTCTCTGCTGTCCTTTCTGACTTCCTCATTCCCTGCTGGACCTCACTTCCATGTTGGAGGCTTTAGGCTTTGAGCCGGCCTCCCTGGAGCAAGGGCGGGAACCTGGAAAGTGGGGGTCTTCCCACAGGAAACCCCGGCTCCCCAGATTGCCCCGACTCTGGCTCTGAAGCAGGAGCATGTCAGACAATCGGTGCTCATCCTCCATGTATCCATGCAAGAAATATCGGGGCTTGGTCCACATAGTGCCACCATTGGCTAAACACCTGCGGGGCTTATTCTGAGTGATAAGATGCTTAATTCATTCAGACGTACCTAGTGGATGGGTTGCGTGTACAATGGTTTGCATTCCTCTGTTGGATTTGGTCAATGAACCAGCTTCAGTCACAGTCATGGAGGGTGACAAGATGTCTGTGGAAAGCAAACTGGAAGAGAAGTCCCCTGGATGGTGGCAGATATGGATAGGTGTCCCCCTCACACCTACAGAAACCCTCTCCACAGTGGACTCAGGGGTATTTGGAAAGGTCATCACCTGTCTTCTCACCATGCCCTAAATATTCCAGCTCTCTCTGCAGTTTTGCAGGACATCTTTCTTGGGTGAGCTCATTTCTCCAGCTGAGGTTGACGAGGCCAGACAGACTGCCTTCCCTTCAAGTAACTGCTCATGGTGAAGCTTGGTCCCAGTGAATCCATTGTAGGCTGAAAAGGACCCTAACCAGAGCACATCTCCCACCCCTGACCTAGGGACCAGTGCCACTTGGGCCAGCCTGACCTAACCACCCTGAACACTGGCCCGAGGAGCCTCCACTGGGCAGAGCTGCCTAGCGCAGAGCCCGGGCTCCTATAAAGCGCTGAGATCCTGGGAAGGTGCTGATTACTGTATGGGAGGTGAGATGCTCACCTTTCATCTCACAGCTGGATGGGGTTGGGGTGGGAGAAAGGGGGGTGTTAGAGGCACTGAGCCCAGGAACTGGCGCGGCCTGGGGAGCCTGTGGACAATGCGTGAGAGTCTTAGTGCCATCCTTTACTGACTTCTGGGAGCTGGGACCGAACATGAACCCTGCGACTGGATGCGGACACCAGTGACTCAGAGCACAGGTTTCCTCAGCTCATGGGTCACTGCGCTTTGATGTCTCTTTTCCTGTGCTAACATCACAGCCATTTTAATCTCAAAACCCACGGCTCACCAGTGATCTCGGAAGAATCTGGGGTCTGATGCAACACTCCTATGAAGTTTGAAAGAAAGTAGGCAGAAAGATAAAGGACTGTAACCAACAGGGGCTCCTACTGCTGTGACAGAAAGGCGCGTTTGATGCCCCGCATGTCACACCGATCCCTGTATCTTAGGAGCAGGTGTTGTAGCCACCTGTCGGAGCCCAGGCCCAAGTCGGTGCTTCCCTTTGCATCCGTGTGACCTGGGTGTGACCTGGGTGTGCTGTTTGATCTCTCCTGACAGCTGACAGGGTGACCTGGAAAGCAGGAACGGTGACTAGGTTTCCTAGGACTGGCGCACGTGTAACATCTTGGAAAGATTTTAGCGTGAGGCGGTGCCATGGTTGATATCATGGTGTTCCCCAGAGCTCATGCATCCATAGACGGGGCTTCTGGAAGGATGGACTGTGAGGCTGAGAGCTGACTTGCTGCTAGGAGGTGCGGCCTGGTGGGAGGAGACGGTCTCTGGGGCGTGGCCTGGTGGGAAGAGGCGTGGCCTGGTTGGAGGAGGCCGTCTCTGGGGCGTGGCCTGGAGGGAAGAGGTGTGACCTGGAGGGAGGAAATGGTCTCTGGGGCGTGGCCTGGTGGGAGGAGGTGGTCCGGGCATGGCCTGGAAGGTCCCGCTCCCCCTCTCTTCCCTCCCTTCTCTTCCCGCTTCAGTCCTCCACCCTGGCCCTCCCACCCTGCCACCCTGCCTAAGTCCAGCCCACCGAGGACTGCAACCTCTCCAGACTGAGAGCCAAAATAAGCCTTCCTGTCTTTGCTGGTATCAGCTGTAAAGCCCCGGTGATGAGACGGGTCACCAAGCCAGCAGCCCAGACAACACTGTCAGAGGAGACGTCCCCTCGCATTGGCGGGTGACCATGCAGGGGGCAGGGTCCTTGCTCCCGCCTCTCCTCGCACTCCCAGGACTAACCGTGAGATCCTGGCAAGGGTCTCAGCCCATGGATGGGTTGCATTTGCTTCGTCTCAGCTCCTGGAAGACAGCAGCGGCCAGGACTTCTGCTCTCGTGCTCCTGGCGACAGCTGAGCACGTGTTCTCCCCGGGGGGCTGCGCACCACGCGTGTGCTCCGTGACCAGCCGAGTCCCCAACCCTCTGACCCCTGAGAGACCCTCTTGTGTGTCCCACAAGTCTACGCTAACGAAGAAGCAAAGCCAAGGAGCGCGCAAGAAGCGGGGGATGAGTACGTTGGAAGGGAGGGAAGATACTTTTGAAGGGATTAAAGGCAGTGGCTTCTACTGTAATACATTTTTAAAAATTAAAACAAAAGATTGTTAAATTATTCCTACTCTTATGGTCATCGCCTTATTCGCTTGGAGCGTTTTGTCCTGAACATCTGACTGTAAGGCTTCCAGGTCTGTAAAAGGTGCAAAGGTTCTCGCCTGCCTCACAGAGTTGTTATGAGCTTTAAGTTTGATTAAAACTTAAATTAACAAAGCCCTGGGCCTTCAGCGTGGTCTAAAGTGCTGGTTTTGATGACTCATAGTGAGTGACATGCTTATAGAGCGATTTATGCATTAAAAAATAAAGCAAAAATTGACTTCTATGTAATTATGGCCATTATTCCCAGTTATTGATGCTCATTTTACAGGTTGGTAAACTGAGAAGGATTCTGTGGTCTTCTCATATCACCCGTTGAAGTCTGCTCACATCACCCAATAAGGGCGACAAAACTGGTTCCAAACCCTCGATATTTCCACCTGTGTTGCATCTCCAAGTCTGGACCAAGGCAGACAAGGGTCTGACAGGGGGTTCCCACCTTCTGTCCTTTTCCTGTGAGCACGGGTCTGGGGTATACTCTCCAGCCCTTCCCTGGCAGCCATACCCCAGCATCCCAGCAGTTGGGGAGGGTCGTGGCCTTTTCTAGGCCCCCAAACCAGCTTCCCAGATGTCCCCATACTTGAATCTGTTAACATCGCACCCCTCAATACAGCACAGCCCCCATCCCCAGTTGAAGCCAGCTACTTCCTGCTCCTGGCTTAGGCATGTGCCCCACACCTAGCAGATTCAGAGACAGAACTCATTAGCTGCCGGAATGGATTAGAAGACTTCCTTCCATGAAACCAGTTTCTTGGAAGCGCTTCACTAGTGAGCAGCTCTGCACCTGCACTCTCTTTTGCCTTAAGATCAGTTTGAATCTATTGTTAGTCCAGTGACACTGAAAAATGCACCCCATCCCTCAGGCATGAGGGGAGGGGATGCCATCTACCTGCAAGCCGTAGTGCACATGCCAGGGACCCCTAACAGGCCAGGTGCCCCAGTCCCTGTCCTCTCCCTCCTTCCTTTGGTTCTTGGTTCCTTGCTTTCTGTGTGGCTGGCTCTCAGGATCCCGGGACAGGGATTGGACCCATTTTCAGTCCTGTGAAGCTCATCAAGTTCTGCAGAGTGACTGTGGTCACTGTCGCACACGAGGGCCAAGTGGATGCCAACAGGACGGGTTACTCAGTCCGTGCCTGTCCTTCCCTCCTGTCACACAGTGCCGGGTCCCTCCCTGCCAGATGAGCCAGTGCACACAATGGCTCATTGAGGGCCTGTGACTGGTGCTCCCCGCGCTCTGTGGCTTCAGACAGAAACGCCACTGTCTTCCCAGCCCTCTTGGAGGGAAGTTTTCCTTTCATCAGACCCTCCAGAGCATGCTATTCTGTGCAGATGTTGGAAAACTCTGAGGCTGGAGAACAAGTCTGTCTTTCTGACCAAAACAAACAAACAGCCGAATGGGTAGGAGATGCAGAATTGGAAGTCACTGCCCGGTTTTCTTGGGACCTGGCTCTGTATCAGGAAGGCTGGAGGGCTGGTAGGAGGCAGTTCGGAAGTGGATTCTCTTCCGCTCACTGATTTGAGGGCAGAAGCATTTTCCTAGGGTCACACTGGCCTCTGGACATTTTGTGCAGGAACAGGTAGGCTCTGAGACAAAATGCTGCAGGCCAGCTTCCTTTTTAAAATTAATTTTAACTGGTGCACAAAGGCATAAAGCTGTCTATGTTAACGGCCTGCAGTAGAACGCGGTATAGGTCTGTCTGGATCAGGTTAAACACACCCAGCGGTCTCTTCCATTTGAGTGTCTTTCTCTCCTAGTCATAACAGTGTCCTCAGACACCTCACAAATTCAGAAATAGACCCAGGATAGATTTCTGCAAACCACAGGAAGTGTCTCCTTAGAAATCAGTCACCTCTTCTGTGTAAACCGGACCGTGGGCCACGCTTGTCCCTGCCTGCTAAAGAGTTGATGCCTACTATGACCGCCGTCACCCTATCCTGTGGGGAAGACGCCTCTCCGCCGCTCACCTGCAGCTTTTCTCAGCCACAGAGGGTGGCTCTGTGTTTTTGAGGCACTCCTGTGAGCCCCCATGTCACCTTGGTGCCACTGATCAGCCACTGGTGTCCGCGTCACCATGTGTGGTGCTGGATCTCTTTGAAGACGACCTCCTTGCTGGCCTCTCCCTCTCCAGAGACACTGCTGGCCTCTGTTAGGACAGAAAAGCACCAAGACAGAACTACTGGGCCCGACTGGTCACAGGCAGGCTGGAGCCCTGCGTGTGTGAGCTTGGCCGTTTGAACCCAGGGAGCTTCTCATACTGTGGCTATTTAATTCAGATTGTGTATTTTGCTGATAAAAGCATTGAATAACTAATCTGGAAAGATCCACCTGAAACACTGTTTTCTTTAGGGTAAAATAGAAGCCAAAAGTGAATTTTCTTTTGCATTTTATATTTTAAAAGTACCATCAAAATATTTTACAGTTTTGTATTTTGTGAGTTTTTAATCTGTGAATCAGTATTTGTTGATTTGACTACATGGGGTTTTTAGATGGGAGTTACTCCACGTCTACCAAAGGGAAACTTCTTTTATGTGTAAATCAGAGTTTGTTGATTGAATACATGGGGTTTCTAGATGGGAATCACTTCAGGTCCACCACAGGGAACCCCCTTCTGAGAAAGAAAGAGAAGACAAAGAGAAAAGATTTCACACAGAGAAGATGGAGACTAGAAAGGATGTCTCAGGTAGAGATGTTTTGGGGCAGGACCCGAACACTGGGCTCTGTGGAACTGGCTTGTGTATGGGCACTGGGGTCACTCAGTGTCCCCACCCTGCTGGAGTCTGAGGGCAGAGGCTCAGAGAGGATGGCGTGTGCCACCCCTCTGTGGGAGTCTGGGCGTGATGGGAAATGGCCCTTTACAGGTCGCCAGGGTCCTCTGGTGGCGGCCTCTGTCCCCACACCCAGGCTAGGGACTTAATTCCGTCCCTCGGAAGCCGGCTGCTCTATAGTCCAGCCCTGTGATGACCGCCTCAGCCCCGGATTCAGTTTCCTCATCCATCAGCGGTCATGACGACCTTTCCCTGTCAGCCCGATGGCTTCCAGGGGGAACAAGCCGCAGGCCACCCGAAGCCCACTGCTACCTCCGGAAGTCACAGAAGCCAAAAATAGAAGTGCCGCAATGCCCAGGGCACCGGGTTCCAGGAGTGGGGCTGCTGGGGAAGGGAGAGGAGGGCCAGGGCAGCGCTCAGAGGCCACGGGCTTCGGCTGGGATCTGTGAGAAGGGGTAGGTGGACCTGGGCGAGCCCACCATGGGCCGGATGTAAAGGACCTATGCCAGGGCTCCATGGCCAGGAGGAGGCTCAGGGACACCCGTATGCTCTGACACGGCCCTGGTGACAC